TGGTATAGCAAGCTTTCAAATCAGCAAAATCTAACCAAAGCAGTGCCTTTTCACCGATGACCAACGAGTATCTTCAAATGACCACTGATCATCACCATTACTACTATATGTTTCGTTATTTGAACGTGCCTCATCCCAAATAGGTCATTTTGGTTAAAAATCATGATATTTTTGTGACTATTCAAGCCACTATTTGAATTAGTAAAACGTAAACACCTGTCGAATTTCAACAATTTTTGTTAATTATTTCCAAACTTAAAGGAACCTTGTGAACTCTCAAACGATGAAAATTATAATCTGATCTGTAAGAAATTGTCTTGTACATTGTAAATAATGGTCCTACTGATGACCCAAATCACTTATTGTCTGAATGGAATAACAGATCATCCAAATTTGGTGCCAAAATTGCTAATTGTTTGCTTATTTTTCTATTAAAAAATATTATTCCAATTTTCCAGGTTGATATCAACTAAATCAATCTAATATTTTGATGTATCTGGGTACTAACCCATCTCACAGAAAAAAATTTGGTCCAAATGCCTGACCCAAGGGTTATCACCTCCTGCATGGAGCTTTCGCAGACATGCTTTTAAATGATAAAGTCATTACCAAATTTTATTACACCTAAAATTATTTTAAAATTCACTTTTGCTGTTAAAACTAAATTAAGAATATATATTAAGTCTGAACCTTGGCTAAATTTGCCAATAAAACTAGGTGATATTTAGCGAACCTTCCCTCTTAATAAATGAACGTTCAATCAACACTTATAATACAAACCAAAGTGTTCCTGCCCTTTTTGAAAGAAAATTGTCCTACTTTCCTAAGTTGAGATAGGCTTTTATGCACCAAGAGGGTAATGAATAAATCCATTAAAAATTGAATCCATTAATTATTATATTAAATTATAAGCATGTATGTGATTGAGACGGGAGATATTGCAGCAAAGCAGGTGGCAAAATAAAGTGCACTTTTACCTTCTACTTTTTGTTATAATAATTATCATAATATAAAGTTCCATGTAGTTCTAAATAGAAAACAAATTTTAGAAAAAAAATAACAAAGATGACATGAAAGCATATGCTGAGTTTCGGAAATAAAAAAAAGGAATTTGTTGAGTGCCAGGTAGTCGAAGCGTTTCTGTGATGTAACAACTTTAAAGTGTGAACTATTGTTGAGGTTGCCATGCTTGAACGCTCACTATAGGCTGTTTGTTTGCCCAATATAGATTGGTTATGGAAAGTTGACTGTTTAGTTGTCAACTGTACCAATGACATCTGCTAAAGCTGACTGTCGGGCTTGTTTGCGACTGTTACATGTGGCCAATTATCATGATCATCATCAATAAAATCTAAAGTTGCTTGTTTTCAGCTTTTTGTGTCACTGCAACACATATTCCAATTGATTGTGCAACTCGTCTAAATTTGTGTATGTTTTATTCATGATGCTTGAACCCTTAATGTTGGGGATAACAAAAGTTACACTTTCTACTCATTTTCAATAGTTTGCTTTCTTTTAATTAAAAACTTTACAGATTTGGATATGGGATTGATTTTGTGTCAATTGAAGCAAGAAATATTAACCCTAATAAACGGATCGCTATGATATGATAAATTGTATAGAATCCACCATTATGGCCTATAACATTTTGTAATATTTAACTGTTAATTGCAAAAATAAGAGAAGAATAAGGGTTGTTTATGAACTGTTATTTGATTGATGAATGAGATTAGTACAAAATGTCATAAAAATCAAATTATTTCCACCAGTCCTTATGCATGAAAACATGAAATTTTAGTAATAAGTTCATATTAATTTTTTTAGAATAAAAGTTATAGGATTTTTGCAATAGTGCAAGGGCACATTGTGTTTTTTGTTGTGTGTTTTTGTTTTGTCCTTTGATCTCGTTTATCTCTGAGACAACACACACTAAGATTAAAAATTTAGTTTTAACAGTTTTTAGGTGTAATGAAAATTTGGTAATAAGTTTATTATATATAAAAATATGAATATTTTTTGAAAAAAAAAGTGTACATGACAGTTGATGACACATCAAAGGCTACTGTGTTCTGAATTAAAAACATACTAGACAATACTGTAATGTTAGCCAGATGAATTCTCCCACACCCACACACATACTGACCACTCATAAAACTTACTGACCCGAAACATAGCTACTCTTTCACCTACAGAAATACCTTCAGGACTCTTGCTAATTTTATACCACAGATCCACAAATAAAGTTTAGTGCAAGAAGATGATGATTCGTTCTAGAATGTTTTGCGGGATTTTATTTGCATGTAATCATGAAGCATGATTTAATAAATAATAAGACTAAAGGCCAAAAATAATGATTGAATTATTGCCAAGAGAAATGATGGTTAAGGGCCTATTGGATAAATTATGTGTAGTTTTAATGTGTTGGTTTAATGAGAAAAACTGAATTTTTTAATAATTTCCATTAGTTTAAAAAAGGAAATTGGACAATAAAATGAGAGTTTATTTGAAATGTTAAAATAATCAGTATAAATCATTTTATTTTTTAAAAATTGTATTATTGAACCTGGGAATTAAAGGTCATAAATGAGAATTTGTCTTTTAATTTTCTCTTGTTGCTGTTTTAAGTAGTGTATGATCTGTTGGTCTTATTAAACAATTAAGAAAACTAATTTAATTAATTAAACACATTTTGTTATTCATTAAGTGTTAATTTCATTGAAAGTTCAGTATAGATGTAATCCCCCTGCTATTGAAGATGAAAAGTGTCACCACCTTTACACTAGCAGATGGCCTTTCTTGGCTCATAAACTCTAAAAAATGACTGAAGTTTTCAAATGAGGAAAGATTACTATTGAATAAATTTTGGCTGGCAGTCTAGATGTTAGATTTTGATTACTTGTAAAACTGTCATCTTTGGGTGAATCATCTAGGGTCTTGATGGAATGGTGCTGATTGGATGTCTAAGATAACTATTTACAATCTTTACACATTGAATGTTCATCAGACTTCTTTCTAATTTCATAAATCAGAGAGCGGCAACCAGGATTAAATTTGGTGTCACTTTCAGATTGCTTCGAGATCTTGGTTTCTTGACTTGCCCAAACTTGTCAAAGATGATGAACTAGTACATTTTGAGGATCAAGTTTGTGCACCCTCTCTAACTTTCTGACTTGTCCCTTTCAGAGAGAGGGAGAGAAAAGGCTTGTGTTTTGTCCATATTCAATAGAAGTATATTATATAGCAGGTTTAACAAGGAGTATTGAAGGAGTAAACAATATGCATGTTAAAAATGATTGATGTTGTAAAATGTGATATTCTGTGCATGGCTTTGATGTACCTGTACAGTTTCCACCTGCTTATTTCTAACTTGCATGTATGTATCATACTGAATATTAATGTGGTTTATCTTATGAACTGCAAAGTATAAACACCACGTTCTAGAAAATCTGCCATGCAAAAGTTTTAATTCAAATTGTTTGATCTTGAATAATAAATACAAAAGACATTGTCATATGGTTACAGGGAAACCATATATTTATCATTCAAATTGATATTAAAAATTTCTTATTTGGTTATTTTTTTTTTTAAATCTACAGTTTGGAACAGTGTGATGTATTTTAATTACCAATGATTTCTGTAGTAATTTATATTATTATACAATATTAGTAAATCTGAATACATTTGATACAATCAAGATGAAATGTTATGTAAATGAACAAATTGGGTGTTGTGAACCTCCAGATGGTTATGATGTAATAACTGCATTTCAGCCACCCAACAATTTCCATTTCCTTGACTTGATTAATTTTCTTAAGCATTGATTAATTTCTTTGCCTATTCTTGAAATATTTAAATTTTTGATTTTAATTTTGATATTGTTTATGAGATCATGACCGTATTTTTGTAATATCAAACAGAACTGTCAGTAATGACTAATCTCCTAGCAATGATAACGGCCAGCAGGATTAAGATGCAAACTTTAATTTAGTTTTTTCGCGTGCAGATAGAATATTGCCACATGGTGCCCTCTTTCATAATTCAAGTTTGTGAAGAATATGTTTGAAAATATTACTTTTCATTTGTTGAATACGAACTGATAAAATATTTCACATGACAGTTTGAAGTGTGTAGGAAAAGCTATGACTTTTTTTCAGTTAAATTTTGTAATTATTGACTTTTATTACATGAATGTACACATGTGCTAAGAATATTGATTTCAGAGGATGTAAGCTGTGGGTGAAATGTATGATTTGTTAAATTAATATTTCGGAAGCAATGGTTACAAGTTTCGTTAAATTAATCTTTCTGAAGTAATGATTACAAGTTTATCAGCTCATTAGCCAATCCTACACTTACTTTTGTAAAGAGATGTTTCTGATTAGTTGTCTTGTCTACCAGTAAGCACATATTTATAGGGATTTGGCTCAAGGTTACCTCTGCTCTGTATATTATTATGACTTGAAAATGAAAATGTCACCATGAGATTTTATTTACCGATTTCTTCTTGCAAGAAATTGCGGAATGGTGTTTCTGCAAAGATTAATTGATGCCTGTTTGAGTGACTTAAGGCAGTAATAGGTTTAATAGAGGTACAAAGTAAAACACTACTAGTAGATGCTTGGGCTATTTTGATTAATCAACACACTGTGAAAACAATCGATAATAATTGCCCTATTAAGTGGATTATGCCCTTTGCCATTGCTCTTGAAATATGTGTAGTAAGCCAAAATGGGCTTTTGGTGACTTGGAAAATTTTAACCCCAGCATTACCCCACCCCCTATCCCAAAAGGTTAGTTTTACCAGGCCTGATTTGTTTCATAAGTTTTAAACCTTTAAAGAATGCACAGGCAACTTCGCCGGGGGAAGAAGCATTTGCTGTCTCTGCAGTTTATGTTTGTGTGGGATATAACTCTGTATTTCCCACATGATCGTAATGATTAATTTCAAATAAGATTTTAAGCTTTTAAAAGGGTTAATTAAAAAAGAAATTTGTTCTTACCCTGCCATGTCAATATCTGTTTCGGATCAAATTCCTCGCCTGCTGATTGGTCTTCATCAGGGCTCGATGATGTTGAATACTTTTCTGCCATTGGTAGTTGGATTTCAAAACATACCATCCACACAACTAACTGTTTGAAAACAGAAACAAAACTGTTGTTGAAATTCTAATAAGTTGGCTAATATAAAAGCATGCACTTTGTTTGTGAAGGCCACCCATGTAACTTCTGACATCAAATGATTAAGAGTGGTATATATGCAAACATCACAATAAATAATAGATGTTTTTTCTACTGCGTTTCTCTATAGTATAGATCTTTCAGAGAGCTTTCATTCAATGTAACATACTCCCACAGTCTAACTGTAGCTATAACCTCTCTTACTCATCCAGATCATCAGCAAATTCTTGTGGTTTTCCTGTTTTTACATTTCCCCGTCTTTCTAGCTTGATACAACAGCCTTGTACAACTATTTTAGAGCATTATAAACCTTTAAACCAAATTTAGACCAAACTGCTATTAAGCAACAAACAAAGGAAAACTGTCTCGAATGTCCAGATGTAACTATGAAAATGTATTCATAATTCTGCTTGTAGGTATGTAATTTGGTAGACCAGAAAAAGCAAGGAGTGGTGGGAACTTAGTTGTTAGGCCTTGTCTGATTGGCTGCTCAACCACATATTTTTGATAAGAAGCTAAAGAATGCCATGGACGGTGTTACGATTAATTTGAATAAAAAATCTTGTTCGTTGCATCTAGGATCGTGGCTTCCAAAAACCAAACATTCTTGGTAAGCGGTCACTTATGAGATCCATTGAAACGGAAAAATCTGAATATTAACTGACTAGTATTTTAAAATAAAAAGTAACTGTAGTGTAATTAAAAGTTTCTATTATTTCACTCAATTACGGGTAACATGTAGTTTACAAGATAAGCTATTCTCTAATTCTAAACCATATACACAAGCCCACAAACCATGCCATTTTATACTACCTGTTTTGAAATGAATGAAGCAATAGCTTTTTTTTTGTTAAGAATCCAAATTTGGTTTAAGTCTTACGCCTAGTAATGATACTTATAATATAAATACATGTATAGACAACCCCTGAGGTTGGTTGATATTGCGTGTTTTAGGAACGGAAAATGATCTCCAACCATGTGCTGTGTTTTTCATTCTGACTTTATCAGTTTATATTAAGATTGAATATTTAACTGTAAGCTACTGGTTTTGAAAATTGATAACTATGAAAACTTTTAATTCATTTGTTTACTCAAATCAGTAATTGGTTGTTTTTGCCTTTACTATTATATTGTGAACTGTGTTTTATGTTAATGATGGGTGCAGGGTTTTGACAGTAAACATTCAGTTGTGCCATATATTGTTTACTGGTATATGCAATGTGTTTTAGTACTTCAATATGGAATAATAATAATAGACATCACCACAGAATTATTGATAGAATGTTGTGGGATTGACCGACTAATCATGATAAAAGGAAATGTTAAACAGGCATTGAAGATTTATCTCCCTTTAACCTTGAACCATTATCAATAGTTTCATAATTATTTTACATATCGTACTTCCAGTCATTAATGCTTGTTTTATCAATTAAAATATAAATTTATTTTTTTGGGTTCATTTAACATTAAACATATACATGTGATGTGACACATGATACTAAGGTTTTCACCCGCATTATCATAATCCATTATTATTTAAATTTATACTTCTTATCTCACCTTTAAATTTGCAAATTTAATGATTAAAATTGTAATTTTTGACAGTGTTGTTGTTTTTTGTAAATTAAGTATGCATATTGTCTACTATATTCATGTAAAAACCGTAATTATTTTTTCAGAGATGGATATTTAAATTATTTATGATCACATTCATATTGGCAGTTTAGTTATAATTATCGTTGAGAGGTTTATTTTTAATATTCCATATGTTGTTGTGTAGCCTATGGTAATATCATAGATTATTTCTTTTGACATAAAAATATAATAATAGATTATAAATGTACTTCATATGTAGTTTACCATGTTTTGTTGAAGGGCCAATCTTGATTATATTTTGGAGAATAAAACTGGTTAATTTTGTGTTAAAAGCCTTTAAAAATTGTTTAAATGTATCATCGTAACACCCTGATGATGGTCGAGTTCAAATTTCGTGAAAATCGGACCGAAACTGCCCAACAAAATGTCCTCTCGAACGCAAATAGTGTAAAAGTATGTAATATGAAGGTTGTGGACCCTCTAGAGGTCACAATTTTTATCCGATTTTGATGAAACTTGAAATGTATGTTTATAACCCAAAGATGTTGGTTCCATTTGATATTCTTGCAAATCAGATCGTAACTTCCTGGATTATGGACCCTGATTGTAAGAAAAATCACATTTTTTTTTTTTTTTAGCTTGTTCTCTATCCATCTATTGCAAAATGTGGGCGTATCTTGCATGGCAACCCCTGGTTTATGAAACTTGTGTGTTTTTTTTTATTTGACCAAATAAAAATTCCTGTTTAATTGATAAAAACAAACCACATCAAGTTGACTTTGTATGTAGTTAAAACATACTATATTTCGACTATCTACCAACTTATTGAATCTTAAGTAGGGCTTATGTCAACTTTGCAACTCAAAGCAACTAGTTCCAGTCAGTTGAAAGTGTGCTTATGTTGATCATATCAGCAACTGAAAGCAACTGAATTCAGAGCTCTCATGTCAACTCAGAACTAATAGCGATTGCACTTAACAGGTTAATTTATTCATCACATGACCAACAAAATGACGAATACCTTAGAAGAAGTACCCCAAAGGCATGGTCGGTCTTGCTACAATTTTATTAATACATTATTGTCTATATCATCAACATTTGAAAAGTGGGTGACTTTGTTCGCTTCCATTTTGCTTTATTATAAAGTCACATGACACATGTCTCTTTGCAAGTTGTTATTTCCATGGTAAGAGGTTGATACCAGTTGTAAAAATGCTCATGTCGAGGGCAAGTAGTTGCCGCTAGTTGAAGCAAGTTGCAGAAAATTAAACATGGGCAACTGGCTTCAACTAACCAGAACTAGTTGCTTTGAGTTGTAAGAGGGACTTAGGTCAACCTTTTTCAGTTGCATTCAGTTGAGGTCAACCTTTTTCAGTTGCATTCAGTTGAAGCCAGTTACTCCCAGTTTCCAAAATGCCAATAGCTCTCAGTTGTAAGATCGACATAAGCCCCCCTTTACAAACCTCTACATTTCTCAAATACACTATTTGAAAACTTGTATACTTAGTTAACGTTTGTTCACAAAATTCAACCTCATTGAGAGATAGTATTGTTGCTTAAACTGTTAGATTTTTTAAATTAGTATGCATATTCAACAATCAGTATGATAAAAGCCTGATACACGGCAATAAATCAGCCATATAAAGAGTTATTTGGGGGAAATGTCAAGATTCTTTTTTCATGCCCATTGAACAGTTAGTATGATAATAGACTGATTAATGCGCAGCAACTCAGCCCCATAAAGAGTTAATTGTGGGAAAGATAAGATTTTTTATACGCCCACATTTTCATGTGGACGTATATTGTTGTCGCCCCTGTCCGTCCGTCCACAATTATTTGTGGACACTCTACAGGTCGCAATTCTTATCCGATTTTGACGAAACTTGAAATATAGGTTTATCTCCAAAAGATCTTGGCTGCTCTTAATATTGACATGTATCGGATCGAAACTACATGGATTATGGCCCCTGTTTGTACGAAAAATCACGTTTTTAGCTTGTGGACACTATAGAGGTCACAATTTTTATCCGATTTTGTTGAAACTTGAAATGTAAGTTTATAACCCAAAGATCTCGGTTCCTTTCGATATTCGCACATATCGGACCGTAACTTCCTGAATTATGGCCCCTGATTGTACGAAAAATCATGTTTTTGTGGCCCCTATAGAGGTCATAATTTTTATTCGATTTAAAAAAACGTATTATTATATCACCGTTACACCATGAGGACGGCTGAGTTCTAATTTCGTGAAAATTGGCCCAAAACTGACAGACAAAATGGCCACCCTTCGTTCTCAAATAGCCTAAAAATATGATATATCAAGGTTGTGGATCCTATGGAGGTCACAATTTTTATCCGATTTTGTTGAAACTTGAAATGTAAGTTTATAACACAAAGATCTCGATTCCTTTTGATATTTGCGCATATCAAATTGTAATTTCCTGAATTATGGCCCTTGATTGTAGGAAAAATCACTTTCTTTTTAGCTTGTTCTCTATCCATCTCTCGAAAATGTGGGTGTATCTTGCCTGGCAGCCGCTGGTTATCCATCCCAATTGAACATTTAAAATCTGCTGTCATGAAGAAAAACTATGATATTGCCATTATTCCCTTGGCTGGCAAACTATCTTTTTAATATTTGAATGAATATGTTTACTGTCCCTGATTTTAACGTAATTCAATAATATTTGTTTTTGTTGGTGTATTTTATTTTCTAATTGATATTCCTATTATCTTTGACGAAAATAGATTATAAATTTACACATTTTGTGTACTGTACATGGTTCATTTAAATTGTTGAATTGTTTTGTTGATTTGTTATTCAAAGCGGTAAAAAACTCAGTGACGCCGCATGAAATATAGATTTGTTGGCGATAGAAAAACATTATTTAAATGTCTTATTTCTACAAGATTAGTCATCTACAGTTCGATGTGGGCAGTAGAGTTAACTATAATTTCGAAAGTTATTGCAAAAGTACTAGTTATATTACTTGAAAACATTTTGGGCAATTAATTATGTCAAATTTTTGTAGACTTGGGTGTGGAATTAAAAGAACCAATTTTTTTTATCACGTTTTATTTAGTATTATGTAATGATTAAAACAAGGCTAAACTCTCATGACTATTCTACAGTTTTATTTGTAACTAAAATTTGATAGTTTAATACAGATAACCCACACCATTATTATTATTCTTATTTTGTGAGAATCAGTAGATAAAATGCATCACGATATTACACAATATTGATCCATTTTTAGAATGGAATTAATCTCAGACAACAAATTGCCCACCTGTCGTTTCGTCTGATGTTCAATTGTTTACATGGTATTATATTTTTCTGATGTATTTATCTCCCATTTTCAACTCTGCTGGATAAATGTGCCCTAATTTTTTTTCTTAAATAATGTACATCTTTTTTTTTTTACTGTTTGATGTATCTAGCTGTAAGTTATTTTTGTTAGACAATATAATAAGCTTATATTGACACTGTAGAATCCGCTGACTAATCAATAAAATTTGAACAGAATTTAATCTCCATATTGAACATGGTTGTAACCTTTTATGTTTTAAAAATATTTTTTACCGTCTTCATTAAATATTCCTTTGTTCATGTAAGAAGATTGAGCTAATTTATTT